AACAGGGGTTCTTAAAAATTTTTTGGTAGTCTGGTGAAACCCAGGGACCTCCTCTTGGAATAATGATTTTAAAGGTGCAAAATAAAATACACAGGATTACAAAGGAAACCAATGATATTGAAATACAATTATCAACATACGTCTGAACTTGTACACTTTTATATACATGTATGGAAATATACACATATGTACATATGTGCAATGGTAGGAACTTAGAAGTGCATATACACATATGTATGTATCTGCAGGTGAATATACACATATATGTGCATATAGATACATACATGAATACAAACACATATACACATGCACGAGCTCACAAACCTCAGGATAAGAACCACTGCTCTAACAAAAGATGTTTCCTCCAGAGGCAACAACATACCCCAACTCTCAGTGTGAAAATTATTTTTATGAAGTTTCTTTTCAGTTCAGAAAGAGAAACGGTATTTTGAAAGAAAAAAATCTTGTAATTTTTTGGTCACTTGGAACATTGTAACTTTTTTCCTAATGTGCACTAACCAAAAACAAAAACAAAAAAACCTAAAACTTGGATCAATAAAAAATTCTGACATTTTTACTTTGTATAGAGAAACTTCAGGAAATTCTGAATGACTAATAATTATAATTAGTCCTGCATTTTGTAACTTTTATTTGGTATTCAGAGTTCTCTGTTCCTGTGTTAAGATGGAACTTAGAATACATCAAGGACAATGGAAGGGTTGTAGTAGAAAGTGCTTTTCTACCTAAGTTATGGAGCTTACTCCGATGACTGCCATATAAACAGTAAGACTGCCCTGAATTATGAATGTACATGTGACCCTATCATTATTCCCAGGCTCTGTGCCCTTTGCCCTTGATCCCATTACAACAAGATTTAGGGAAGTGTCAGACTGTTGGAATGTTACACAATAGTGACCTTGATTCCCAACTTGGTTGAAAGAAGAAATGAGTTTAAGCCTAATGTGGAGACTATATTGAGTTCTTTGTTACTAGAGTGTCCAAATGACTTCCATCCTAAAAGAGGCTGTGGACTTCTGAGAGACATCTCCAATGGTAACTTGTTCGATGGTTACGTGTGAGGCACACATTCATGGTCTGCAGTGTTGGACAATGATCTATTCCGGATTACATGGAGGTTGATGTTTTTATAGCTAGGTTGTCTGTTAAAGAACAAATGCGTCTGGTTTTGTTTGGTATCGTAATGATAATAATGGTAGTAATAATAATAAATAACAGCTGATATTGACACAGAAATATAAGGTTTGTGTAGTACTTTATATTGTTTGGTCTTCACAAGTACCCTTTATAGCTACCATAATTGTATCCATTTTACTGGTGGCAAAATTAAAGGTAAGACAGGTTAAGTGACTTGTACAGAGTCACAGAACTTGTATCTGAGAACCCAGATCTCCCTGTCTTTAGATCTAGAGTCAAGGGTGCTATGTCATTTTGTCCCTTTCCCCTTGCATATGGTAGATGAATTATTGGAAAACTGTAGCAGTTATTCAAATTTCTTCATATTAAAATTGCATTTTTATTCTCCTCCTCCTTACCCCAAAGGTTACCCCTCTGTCAGGCACAGCCTTTCTGGCAAAAACCCAAAGAAGTATTAGAAAGGGAATGCAAAAGATGGTAGGGAAAGAGATTGGTTATTTATTGCTTGATGGATTGATCAACGGGTAAGAGGGTGTGATTTAGAACCAAGAGGCAACATGTCCTGTCCTGAGCCCCTTAGGGTGAACGTCAATCTTTAATTACATCTGGAGCTCATTAGTTCTTTTGCTAGCCCCTTTCCAGATCATCTCCCTCATCAGCCTCCCATTGAGTCACAGAAAACCCAGATGGTTCCCTCCATATGCCAATGCTCAATTCCTTGAGGAGAAAGGATTGGTCTAAGGAGGAAGGATTGGTCACTGGCATAGTAAAATGCTGTGACTAAGCAGTGATAATAGCAATATGGTGGACCCCTTGACTTTTACTGGCAGTTCTTCCCTTTAATATACTTATACTTCCAAATATGTTGAGGAGCTGTGATTTCATTCGTGTGGTGACTCCCTGCTCTCATGAACATTAAAACCCTGCCATACCTTAGTAGATTGTTTTATGAGTTGCTGTGACTAAAAAAAAAATGCATTCCCTAATGATTAATCATTCATCTGGTGCTGCTGAGTTTTCCTGATGTATATTCTATAAATGAATTTTGCTAATAAGTCATTCTGACTGATTGCTGCTATATTGCCATAATAGTTTCAGTGAAGGCATGCTGTTGCTTGGCTTTGGGCTTGGTCTGTCCCACTTTGACTGAGTAAATAGGTAGGTTGGCTATTGTTCATAATGGGCAAATGAGAATACAGCTTCGGATGACACATTGGTAATGTAATTGGCTACTGAGACTAGGGTTTAGATGATATATGGTCAGAGACTGATAGATTCAAACCAAGATAGAAATGAGGATAGTTCAGGGGCTATAGTGAAGGAAGAGAAATAGTCAAACCAGGAATGAAGGGGGTAGATTGTAGGGGGCAGAAATCAATGCTGAGTATCAGGAAGAATAGATAGATGTGTGGTCAATAAGATAGGTCAAAAGTCAAAAAGGAGAGAGGTCAGCTTTCCTGGCTAGGTTGAGGTCAGAGGCAACTGTAAAGCAAGTTGTAATGGTAGAGGTCTTCGAAGAAATGCAGTCTTTAAATTTAAACCTAGTCTTCCTCTCTGGAGCCTGCCACAAAGCTTAGATTCATTGTTTAGCTCCACCTCTGCTGCCCATGTATTTGTATAGCCATTATCAGTACTAGCCAGGCAGATCCTGCCAGTCATCCCTCTTCTCTATCCAGTGACTTAATATTTTCTGGACACTAAGTCTGGAGCCAAGATCTGGGTTTGGATCTTACATCTAACACCTATAATCTGTGTGACCGTGGAAAAGCTACTTAATCTCCTTGGTTACCCCCTTTGTAAAAGGAGGAAGTTGGAAAAGAAGGCCTCCAAAGTCCTTTTTGGCCCCACATTTGATCCTATGAAGCAGGGAGGGGAGAAAATGAAAGATTTTTCTATAATATAAGCCTTTTTGGTAACTTTCTATCAATTGGTAAGTTCCTAATAATTACTAAAAACCTTGTGAATTTTAGCAAGAAAAGAGAAAGTATAGTGCTTTAAAAAAATGCCAAAGAACCAATAAATCTATTGAGAAATAATTCATGGGCAGCTAATATACATAGGGAGTTCCATAAAAATTTTTAAAGAGAAAAAAATGTTCATTGAAGTAAGAATTAGATTTAAGGCAACACGATCACTACTGAAAAAGCCTTGCAGATGTTGATGATTTTAAGTACTAGGTTTTCGTAGGCAAACTTACTCTGAATTCTTGATTCTTATTGAATTACAACAGGCTTCAGAGAGTAGTGCTTTAGAGTCCATGAAATATTGACATTGTTTTAAAATACATATCTATTATTCATCATTTGCTGCACTATAACTTGCTACAAAGTCAATGAGTACAAGTTCCAGCTACTGAAGTTATAAGGAAGCTGCTGAGATGAAAGAGGAAATGAAGAACAGGTGTGGTAGGGATCCCCATGAGCTGCACAAGCCACTCCAGCAGATTAAAAAAGAAATAGACTCGATTTGAAATGAAACAATGAAAAAGGACAGTGAATATGTCTATGGGTTTAAATTTAAGTACAAGTCAATCGTTTGTTAGCATGAAATTATTTTATGCACTATTCATGTTAAACAGTTATAATGTGTTTATTAACTGTTGATTTAGTTTTGTATTTTTACTAATAAAATCCCTTTAGTGAATTAGCAGAACATTTTGTATCCCCAAGTGACTTGTTGTAGTTCACACTTTTTTTGGTGTAGTTTTTGCTAATAAAATTCCTTTAATGAATTAACAATAGTAATGATAATAATAAATAATAGCTAGAGTTTACATAACACTTTAAGGTTTATACAGTGCTTTATAAATATTATCTCTTTTGATCCTTAAAACAATCCCATTATTATCGTCCCCATTATATTATAAGCTACTTGAGGGCAGGGATTGTTTTTTTCCTCTTTTTGTATCCCTATATGACTTACTCTAGGTCACATTTTTTTGGAGGGGTATGTTTTTACTAATAAAGTTCCTTTAATGAATTAATAATAATGATGATGATAGTCATAACAAAAATAATGAATAATAGCTAGAATTTATATATCACTTTAAGGTTTGCAAAATTCTTTATAAATATTAGATCTTTGGATGCTTGCAACAACTCTATTATTATCATTCCCCATTAGATTGTAAGCTTCTTGAGGGCAGGAACTATCTTTTGCTTCTTTTTGTATCCCTAGTGCTTAGCACAGTGTAGGTGCTTAATAAATTGATCCTCATTTTACAGATGAGGAAACTGAGGTACAGGGAGGCTAAATGACCTTTTCTAAGTGACACAGATAAAGGTGCCAGAGATAGGTTATGAATCCCAGTCATCTGACTAAAAATCTAGCCCCTTTTCCCTTGTACCATATCTCCTCCTAACTTTTCAAGAAACAAATTCTTCTTTGGGAAAAGAAAAAATTAAATGAAACCAAACAAACCAATCACACATGTGACACTTAAGTATCATGGAAGTCCTAAAAAAAAGTATCATATGACCAATCTTAGCCCTGGAGAGCAGATGATGAAATGCAGCTGACATCCTTTTGGTGGAGAGATGGGGACAAAGGGTACAAAATATTCCCTGTACTATCAGACACAGTCACTGTGTCAGTTGGTTTTGCTTAATGTATATTCACTCATACAATGAGAGCTCATTGCAAGTATGTGATGGGGTGTATCCAGAATGACAGTGAAATAAAATAAAAAGTTATCAGTAAAGGTTCTTTTAAAAAGAAAGAAAGGCATTCCAACGAGCTCGTGTGGCCTTACAAAGTTTGTCTGGGTGGAGGGGAGGAGAGGGCAGTGGTTGATGATTCTTCTGGTCTCTCACAGTTCTAAGTGGTTTCTGTCTTTTCTTCCTCAGACAGGACCATCCTTGTAGACACTGACCTTCCTTTTCTCAAAGGACTCTATATTCTGGGAACCCTAGAATTTCCTGTGAATCGGAGCAACGTTTTAAATGCAGCTTGTATTATTGTTGCAGGTGGCGAGCTGAAAGTCGGTAAGATTTATATTAAGATTGCCAGGGATTTGGGGAGTGTAGCCAAATCATGCTTCGAAGTTGAGGAATCTGGGAAATAGATAGTCCCATATTAAATCACGTGTTGGATTGATTTTTTTTTGAGGGCTAGGGAAATAAGTCAGTTCATAAACAGGACTAGCCCTAGGCAAAATCATGACATAAGCAGCTTTCCAGCCTTGGACTCCCACTTCCCTTTTCCTCATCCACATTCTTTCATTCATTTACACCCTGATCATATGTGCCCAGGACTATCAATGTGTCCAGGGCTCCCTGTCATGAATTGCTGTCTACTAGGCTTGCATGACAGGGAATGCCATATTCTGCACCTCAACTTTCTCTCACATTCTCTCATATACTGGTAAAATAAATGGATTTAGAGTCAGAGGAACTGACATAATCCTAGCTGTCCCATTTTCCCCTCCAGGTCCCAGTTTCCTCACCTGTAAAATGAGGGGGTCGGACCACATCTTTTCTAAAGTTTCTAAATCACATGATTCTAGGATATAGTGATAATGTAATAGTAATCAAGTAAAAAAAAGAGCACTGGCCCTGTCATTAGAAGGGTATGAATTCCATATCCTGGTTTTCTACATAAAATCTCTCTGTGCTTTAATTTCATCACTTATAAAATGGAGACAATAATAGTTGCACAGATTGCTTGCTAACCATACATTCTATTTAAACATAAGCTATTATTCCTGTTATTATGACCTTTTACCACATCTTTTCTCATGTATATGACTATCTATTTTTCAATTCTTAGAGAAATTCATTCATGGTATAGTGTTAATTCTTTAATGGATTTCTCCTCCTGAGAATAGTTGCTTATTAAAAGAGGACTCTCAGAGACAGAAATTAGTTAACCCAAAGGAATAAATCTCTAGTGGTGGGAATATGAGGCATGTAAAAGAAAACTGCAGAATGCAGAAAAGGGGACTTTTGGGCTAAATCACTTCAGACATATATATTCTGCCCTTATGTAAAGCTGTCCCTACTTACAAATCATATATAGGTTCTTGGAATTACATAGTGTTGTCCCATGCCACTTGCTTAATGAATGTGATCTTCTGTAGTGAAGGTGACATATGTCACCAAGTTGTCATAGATGGTTCCTAAAGAATAATGTTCTATTACTTTGCTATTTTAACTTGTGATATCAATTCTATTCTCTTTGTTTACCATATTCTCCTCTTTTTACCGTATTCAACCTCTTCTATAGAAAATGGTGGTGGTTTTTCTCCTTTGCTCGTGTGTACCAGGCCTCGAGGTAGCTTCTTGGAACCCATCTGTCCAATCCTGTGTATACCATGCCTGAAGGAAGGCTTTCAACCCATCTGTCCAATTCCACCACACCCTGAAGAAATCCCGACATGAAATAGATAATGAGACTGTTTAGTAAACAGATTTAATAGATGTGGACATTGGCACAAAGTGCTGCCAAAAGAGGATCTGATATCTGATGCCATCTGATCCAAGGCCCAACCTTCTGGAGCTGAATTTCTTGGTGGCCTCCCTTTGAGGGCACCCGGTGCTGGCAGAAGATATCAGCTTTAACTAGGCTAGCTTTGCTCAGAGTTCTACATCTGCATGACAGATGCCAGCTTCATTTCCATTCCCCTATTCAATAATACTCTCATTGGTCATGTAAGACCCTTGTGAGAGACAGATATGTTAGGTTTAGATCATTTCTCATAGGACTTTTTTGATCATGGCTTTTAGTAAACTGAGTTTCACCCAAAGTGTTACTTTAATTGAATGTGAAACAGCAGACCATGGAAGAGTATTTACTAGAATGTGAAAGCTTTTTAGGCTTTTATAAAATATATCGTGAAATGTTAGTGGTGGGAGGGATGGTCTAGTATAATCATTATAAATATTATTCATTATAAATCATATATTATTTTTTGCTACAATATTCAATCTATATATAAAAAATATAATCATTATAATATTATTCATTGTAAATATATGTATAACTATATGTAAATATGCATATTACATATATATTATATTACATATATCCTATATTGCATTAACTATATGTAAAGTCCTTTGTAAAGTTTGCAAAAACTTTGTAAAAAAAGTCAAAGTGCTACACAGATGATATTTATTATTATTATTATTATTGTTGTTGTACTTATGCAAGTGAAGGAATTGAAACCTAGAGAGGTCATTTTTTTCAAGCATACATAAGTAAGTTAATGACAGATTACCACCACCTAGATTTCCTAACTCCCAGACTAGTATTCATCACACAACGCAATGTTTCTCTTTTAATATGTTTGATGGTATTTTTGAAATCTTTAAACACCTTCTAGTATTTTGACTTTGTAATGTCATCATATAAATGGAGTGGAATGTACCATGTGATCACAGATCCACAGCTGATAGGCTCCTCAGAGGCCACTAAGCTCACTTCAGGTAACAAATATTCATTAATCTCTTACTATGTGCCAAGTACTATCCTGCTAAGTGCAGGGGATACAAATACCAGCAAAAAGATAGCTCTTGTTCTCAAAGAGCTTACAGTCTAATGGGAAAAGATGATGTAAAAGGCAGCTGAAAAGTGACAGTTTGGGAGAGGGGGAGAAAGAGACTCACTACCTGGAGGAAGAGGTAGCAAAGTCTTTAGTCATAATCAAAACCAGGAGGGGAGTGAAGCATGGCCGTGGTGGACCTGTCTTCACAGTGGAGACCCCCAGAAGGAACTCACCAATGGGAGAAGGGGGTCAGATTATGGCCAAAGGATGTTTTAGAGTGACAAGGCCCCAGGTACGAAGGAAAGTTCCAGTGTGAGAAGTCAACTTAGTCATGGTGACAAGTCTAAAGAAAGTCAAGATCATATTCGGGAGGGGATTAGAGTCCCCTGGAAGAAACTCACCAGTAAGAGAAGTGACCTGGCATGGTGGAGAGATTTTTCAGGATGAGAAGGCCCCAGGCACTGAAAGAAATTCCTAGGTGAGAAGACAGCTTGGCCAACAAATAACTCACCCAAGTTCAAAAAGTAAGCATCACAGGAGGGGTTTAAACCCAGGTCCTCTGGTTCCAGAGATAATACTCTTTCCATTGTATCACACTGCTTTCAAGATTGAATGTTGTAGCAAAAAATGACTATTGTTAGTGAGGTGTGATAGAAGTACCATAATTTTCCTTTAAATATTTGGCAAAATCAAAGTCCTACATGCCAATTGTGGGTATACTATTAAAAACATACATAGAAATAAAGTCACTTCAATGGATTAATTTCTATCAGAGATGAATGATGTTTCATTCATTTTTCCTCAGTCAGCCTTGCTCCTTTATTTTCCTAAAATTATTTTTCATGAACTAGCAACTTCTTTATAGATACAAATACAAAACATTACCTGATGTCAAGGAGATTACATTCTCCTGGGGAAAAGAGGGAGGTTACAACATGTTCACAAATAAGTAGACACGAGATATACACACACATACTCACATATACATATGTTTGCATATGTGTGTATATGTACATATACACACATATATGTATATGTATGTGTGTATGAAAGTGATTGGGGTGGTGCAGTCTTGAATGAGGTTGTACTTAATCTAAGCCTTGAGATAAGTTAGGGGTTCCAAGAGACAGAAATAAGAAAGGAGGACATTCTAGAGAGGGAAGATGTAGCCTGTGCAAAAAAGGTACAAGGGAAAGGGATGGAATTTCCTGAATTTTGAGTAGTGAATAGACCCATTTGGCTAGGACACAGAGTACATGGGAGGGAGTAATGAGTAATCAGCCTGGAAATATAGGATGGAGTCAAATTGTAAAGTGCTTTAAATGCCATAATGAGTTTGTGTTTTATATAAGAGGAAATAAGTAGTCATTGAAGCTTCTTACGCAGGAGAGTGACATGGTCATACTAATGCTATGTGTGAAGAATGGATCAGACAGGAGAGAGGCTAGATGCAAGGGGACACATACGTACATGTGTATATGAGTAAGGAGGCAAATGTCCAGGTAAGAGGCGATAAGTCTGAACTAGGGTGACTGGTATGAATAGAAAGAAGGAGGTGGGTGGGAGAAATGCTGTGAAACTTTCCTTGTTCGGACTTTCCCTTCGATGAAGTTGCTAGGGATGAGGTATGAGGAGGTACATGAGAGTAAAATGCTGGACATGCTCTCTAGATGATCAGCCTCGGTGACTGGAAGACAGGTGGTACTCTCTATAGAAATAGGGAAACTGGGGGAGAGATGAGTCCAAGAAAAAGATAATGAGTTAAGGTTTGGTTAAACTTAGTGAGTTTAAGATATTGATCTATGTAGAGAAATGCAGTAGGTATTTAGAAGCATGGGACTAGGGATCAGGAGAAGAATAAAGCATGGATATGTAGGTTTTTGTAAGTCACGTATAAAAAGATAATAATTGAACTCATGGGAATAGATGAGATTGCTGGGGGAAAAGGTGTATATATAGAGAAGAGTGCCCAGTAGAAAGGCTTGGAATATATTTATATATAAAGGTCAAAAAATGCTTAATAATCCTACAAAGGGGATGCATACAACTACGATAGAGCAGTATGATAAAAACCCATGGAGAAGAAAATAAACATATGGTGTGTGTGTTTTGAGGCAGGAGGGGTTATGTAGAGCAATGTAAAAACTTGTATAGATTTCAATCTTTGATCTCTATGTATCTGCAGACATTTATCTATCTATATCAATATCTCTGTCTATGCACACACACACACACACACACACAGATTTTGGTGTTCATACATGCATAGGCACACATAAGAACAGATAGTACAAATGGACAATGAATTAGGTTGGTAATTGAAAAGCTGGAAAGCAGGCTGGGGCTAAATTGCTTTTCAGAAATTGCAAAGTTCCTTTAATAATTTCAAACTTTTCCCTGAAATAAAGGCTCATAGTTTAAATATAAATATTCTTCTAGTGATGTTCTGTAGCTATAAATCATGGAGCATGACAATTCCCAGAGAAATGAAGTTGAGGA